TCAGTCCCTGTCCCCTCTCAGATCGCCCCCACTCCACCCCCCCTCCCTAACTTGGCCTCAACTGCGCCCCAGCCCCACTCAGATTCCGCCGGTGACCGCGCCCCTCACCATGGCTCATGAACTCCGTCACGATGTAGATGGGCTCCTCAGACACCACCGCGTACAGCTGCACCAGCTTGTCGTGGCGCAACATCTTCATGATCTGCGCCTCATCCAGGAAGGCCTTCGGGGCCATGGTGCCCGGCTTCAGGGTTTTCACTGCCACCTTCGTGGTGCCGTTCCATGTGCCTGCGGGAGGTGGGGCAGGTCAGCACAGGCTCCCGCACACGCGCCCTGCCCAGGCCTGCCCGAGCTCCGTACCCAGCCACACGTCCCCGAAGCAGCCGGTGCCCAGTCTGCGCTCCAGGGCAATGGAGTCCCGGCTGATCTCCCAGGCGTCCTTGGCCAGACCCAGCGTCTGCGGCTTCACGGTGGTGCAGGCAGCGGTGAGCAGGTGGCACAGCCCATCGTTGACCTCTGAGAAGCAGGAGGTGGTCACAGGTGGGGCCGGACACCCCCCCATCCCACAACAGCTCCCAAAATCAGTTATGAGGCGCTAGAGGTCACAGGCTAGGGCAGAGGGCCACTGAGTAGAATCAACATGCTGGTGCCGGGAAGGAGGGATCCACAGAGGGAGGCAGAGCCTTGCAGGAGAGTGGCCCTTCCCCTGGAGGGGGTCTCTAGCCGGCCTCCAAGGGGAATGGGAGGTTCTCACAGCCAGAAATGGGATGAGGATTCGGAGCAAAGGTGTGGACATGAGACCCTCACGTTTCCGTAGACCAGAGCTCTAACCACCAAAGCAAAAACCGAGGCGGCTGTTCCCACCTTCCCCTCAACCCCACAGACCACTCTCCAAGTCAGACCTGGTCTACCGCCTACTCAGTTCACACATTGGGGGTGGCCTTTGGCCGTGGACAGACTCACACCTCAGTTTCCTCAGGAATCCTAGAGCAGGATCCTGAGCTGGGAGCCCAGTTTAGGCCAGGCCACTCCAGCCTTGGGATACCCTTCCCCTCCCTGGGCCTCAGTCTCAGCAGATAGCTCACGGATCCCATCCAAAGCCGAGAGCCAGCCCTCACCCATATAATGCTGCACCAGCTCCCGCACCGAGTCGAACTGGGCCCTCGTGGTGATGTAGTAGCCACCCGTGTCCAGCTTGCGGATCTTGTAATGCTTCACATGATCGCCTCTGGTCTGGTCCCAATCCAGGATAGACAGGGAGTAGGCACCTGCGGGGGAGAGTCCCCTTCAGGCTGACGTCCCTCCGTACCTCCAGTCTGGGAGCCGGGAGAGGCCCCAAAGGCTGGGGACTTAGACGCTGGCCAGCTGCATCCCTGAGCCCAGTCTCAGTCTTAATGCTGCCCTCCCACCCTGTCTCAGTCGTGACCCTGACCTAATGCCCACTCCACGGTCATTAGCCCCACCCTAACGGCAGACCCTCCACACGTCCCACCTTTGGTGGTCTCGCTCTCTCGAATGAGGAAGGCTCCCTGGGAGTTGCCTGAAGAGAGCAACTGCCTCTCAGCATCCTTCCTCCCGATCTTTCCAAAATACCACCTGTTGGGAAGGGGAGCAAGAACGGGGTTCATATGCATGCAATCTGGCCATGAGGGCCACAGGGAAGGGGTGTGTAGGTGCCCAGCACACCTTCTTCTCTCCACTTCTCTTGATTTAAAATGGCCAGAACTGGGCTTTCTCTGGTGGTGCAACAGGTTAAAGCGCAGCACGATGTAGCTAGCAGCACGAGTTCGATCCCCACCCCTGAGGTGACCCACATGGTGCAGCAAACAGCTCCTGTCCTGCCCACTGCTCCCCTCAGCAGCATACTTCTTCAACCTGCCTGTTCTGCTCCTCACTGTCTCTGGTGAGTCCTCTCACTGCCCTTGCACTTCTGGCCTGTACCCCAGCTCTGCATAAATAAATCTTTAAAAACATAAATAAAATTGCCAGAACCCCAGTCACTGGCCATCTGGCCAGGGAGCACGGGTCCCTCAGCCCTTCTCGGTGCCTCTCCGCAGGGGCTCGTTTTACAGATGAGGAACTCAGCGGCCCAGAGAGGTGAAGCAACCTGGCCACAGGCTGGCAGGTGAGCTCAACTTGCAGCACGCTGCTGCCTGCTGGAGTTTTTTCCCTTCTTCCCCAAGTGGCCCCTCAAATTCCTCTCCCCACACCCACCAGCAAACCCCTTCCACCTCTGGCTTCCAGAATAGCATCCTTTCCAGCTTCTCCTTCCTGGCTCAGATTTGCTGCTTTCTCTCCACTCTTTTAAACATGGATACTGTTTCAATTCTCAACTTCAACCTCAGAGCCTTCAGCCTCTCTGCTATGTCTTGAACGTTTTTTTGCTGCGACTATGCTCTAGCCTTAAACCAAAGGAACCTGGAAGAGGCTGAAGTGACCAGCCTGCTGGAGAAGATTCCGATGCCTGCCACATCACTGAACTGCTCTGTGAGCGCTTTGGGCTGAATGAAAAGGAGTGTAGCTTTCATCAAAGGAGGTGGCAGTCTGAGAGTGCCAGTCTGGTACCAGCTCAGATTAGGCAACTGGACAAAGGCAGGCAGGTGGAGTGTGCAGGAAGTCAAACAGGAAAGGGAAGGAGGAATTGTTGAAAGACTGTGCAGACAGGACACATTCTTGAGCTTTTTCAAAACCCTTTCTCTGTCGTCCCCCCCAACGCCATTAGCTACTTCCTTAATAATTAATATAAAAATTCTGGCCCTCCCTGGTGGCACAGCGGGTTAAAGTGCAGCACTGCGAAGCTGGCCGCGTCAGTGCGAGTTGGATCCCTGCCCCAGAGCTGACCCACATGGCGCAGCAGACCTCTCCAGATCAGCCCGCTGCTCCCCTCGTCAATCTGCCTGTTGTCCCCACTCAGACTCTGCTGAATCCTCTCAGCCCCACACCTCTGGCCTGTACCCCAGTTCTGTATGCATCAATAAATAAATCTTTAAAAAAAAAATAGCAGCCCTTGCTATGTGTCAGGCTCTGCCTTGGTACAGGTATGTGTTCATTTAATTCTTAAGACGACACTGTGAGGTAAATATTATTATTAACCCCATAAGACAGATGAGGAAATTAAGATACCTGGTGGTTAAGCAACTTGCCCAAGGTCAGTGGACTCTTAAGCTGTGTTGCCAGAATAAGAACCCAAGCTGTCTGCTGAGGGCTCGCACTCTAACCACGGCACTGCAGGGACTTGACCTCAGAGCTTCCTGACACTGCTCCCAACTGTGGACACCAGCATGAAGCCCTCAAACTCCCACCCTCTAAATCATCACCCCTCCAGGCCTCCTACCACTCTCCACAGATGAAGGCCTCATCCACTTGAGCTCTGGACCGTGTCCACTCGTCTGTGCTCAGAAACTGCTCTCCCCTTCCCATCAGCCCCCAACCCCCATCTGCAGCTTTTCTATCCCGCCAACCTCTACATATGCCCACATTTCTTCCTTCCCTAAAGGAAACTGTTCTACGCTCTGTCTTGCCATCAACATTCTGCTATATCTCTCACCTTCCCTTCACTTGAAAAAGCACTTCACACTTGAGTCTCCACTTCCTCACCTCCTACTCCCTCCCAGGCTCTGCTGTCTGGCCTCCACCCCCACTTCACATGGAGAGATCTCTCACCAAGGTCACTCCCCTTGCCAAATCCAGTGACACTACCTCTCTTATTTCCTGAAACTTCTCCACCCCCTTGGCTCTTCTGCCTTGGCCTGGCCTGGTTTTCCTGGCTTTTCCAATGGCTCCTTCTCCTTCGAGGGCAACTTTCCCCCAAGTTGGGTCCTAGGGTTTTCTCACTTTTCTCTCTTCCCTCACCCTCCTCTGCAGCTTTAATGATCGTCTCCACTCTGAAGGGTCCCCAGTTTCACGGCAAGAGCCACAGCAACAAACTGAAAACCCATGCCAGTTAGATGTCCCCTCCTCCTGGCTAACTCAGGGACAAGGCTTCATGAGGACTGGTCCCCTGTGATCGAGAACATAACCTAATCAAATGGCAGGACGAGGCAACCTCGTCCTCCGGGGCCCTCTCTCCATGAACCTCAACTCAACAAGTCCCACCAGGACCCATGTGCCATGTACCTGCTCCAATGTCCCCCACTCTAGCAAACGGCCTTGTTTCCCTCTCAGCTCCTCCGCTCTGTGTCTCCTGGAGGCCTCTTGCTCCCTACACCCCAATGACGAAGCAGTCACCGAGTCCTGGTGACTTCCACTCTGCAATTTCTCAGCCCTTTCTTTTGCCATAGGTCATATATATGTGAGCAGAGAGACAAGCCTCCGGGAGCCTCACCTTCCTCATCTGCAAGGGAACAGCAGGAATCACGTCAATAGAGCTACGGTGAGACCTTCGCGAATCAAGGTGAGGTACCTGTTGTAAGTACCCCCAGTATACAAAGCTACACCACTGATGATAATTCCCTGCCTTCTTCAGAAAATTAATCGTAAGTGATGCCGCCTCACATTTATGTAACACTTGACAAGATATTTTAAGGTGCAGACGTTGCTGCTATCACGGAGAGGTGGTCCGGTATGTACAATGCTTAGCAAGTGCAGCTGGACTGGCTGGATTCAAACACCCCAGCTCCACCTACTTACTAACCATGTGGACACTGGCAGGACATTTAATTTCTCTGTGCCTCGGTTTCCTCGTTTGTAAAACAGGATCATATTAGTTCTTAACTCCATGAGCATTCAGAAAGCACTTTGAACAAACAAACAAGAAAAGGAAAACAAAGCAAAACAGAAAGCACTTTGAATACTACCCAGATGTGGTGCCAGTTACCAATATTAGCCTATTATCTTCTTTTATTCTTAAAATAATCTTCAAAAGTACAGACAGGAGTCTGGCTCCGAATGCAGCTGCGATGTGCCTGAGAGGTGGTTGGAAGCTGGACCCCGGGGTCCGGTCCATGAAGCTGGCCTCCCTCCACCCCTACTCACTCTTCAGCCTGGATGGAGTCCACAGGGGCCACGTAGTTGCTGGGAACATAGCCAGTCTGTCCGGAGCTGAGGGACCGAGCCTCCCACCAGTCACCCTCACTGCAGGTACAGAATGGGGGGCAGGGGTGGCAGTCAGCCTCTGGAAACCTTGGGGTCAGGCAGCCACACAGAAGATCAGGGGAGCCTGACCCTGCTCCCTTCATCTGGTACACACACGCCCTCCCCACCCCTGCTCCTGTCTGTTCTTCCCCATCCACTGACCCACTGTGACTAGGACATTTCCCTGCAGAAGTAACGTGTTTGAGGACATCTGAGCTTCCTGGCTTCCTCCTCTGGCTCCTCAGCTGGGCTGGAGATTGAATAGGCAGTGGAAGCCAACTAGGTTACTTCCCTACTGAAATCCTCCAAAGTCTATACATTTCCTGGTGGATAAAACCTAGACTCCTGGTCATGGCTTAAAGAGCTCTGTAGAACCTGCTCCCACCCACTTTTCGAGTTTCTGTTTTCTCTCTTCTGTACCTTGCGTTTTATGACCCATCTAGACTGAACCACTTGGTGGTCTCCAGAAATTGTCATTTAATCTCCTCTCTTCCTCTTTGCTCACCTTTTCTTTCAGCGTTTATTCATTTTTCTAGTCTCAGTTTAGAAATCACCTTCTCCAGGAAGCCTGCCCTGATTACCGCTGCCCTGGGGTCATGCTTGGTATTGTTTGTGTACTCATAGTTCCTCCTGCTCCCCCCAATTAGTAACAGTCACCCGGGGTTGTAATTGTCCTATCTCTGTGTCCCCAGAGAGGCTGGAGCTTTCTGAAGATGGGCACCACATAGGATTCCTCTCTGGGTACAGCTTCCACACCAGGCTTAGTGGCCCGATCACTTACGTATTGTTCAAGATGTGAAACTTCTCGCCTTTGGTGAAGGTGAGGTCATCTTCTGTCCGGGCCTCATAGTCATACAGAGCGATGAACAGGGTCACCCCAGCCCCTGCAGATTTAGGGCTACTCAGCAGAGTAGGGCACTGAAGGGTGGCACAAGGGGGCTGCACCCCCAGAATCCTGTTCCCTAGCCAGGTACTATATTTCCCCACCATGGTGGCCCCCTGGTTCTCAAAGGCCTTTGGAGTCTGGTAGGTTTACAATTTGGGCTTCAGAGCTGGGCCTCCATCGATTCAGGACACATATCTTCAACACATATCTTCAAATCCACCCCTCGTATCCTGGGGAGTCCCCAGGGTACCCACTTCTCTTTCCCACCAAGCAGACTTCCTGCCTGGGAAGCGGCACTTAGGAGGCCAAGGGGCTCTCTTCACCACTTGTATCTGTCGCCAGGGTCACTCTCTGACTGGGGCTGGAGCTAAGTCTCGCCCTCCAAGGGTAAGGCCGTATGCTGAAAGCCAGGCTGTGTCACTCATGTCCTACTGGGGGTTTCTAAGGACAAGTCCGTGCCTCCCCTGCCCCCAGGTTCCCAGCATCTGAGCAGTGCCTGCCTCCCTCTGGCCTCACCTGAGACGCCCCTGATGTTGCTCCCATCGAGGAAGGCCGGGCTGGTGGACTGAGAGAAGTTGTTGTAGTTGGGGATGTGAGCAAAGGAGGACACAGACCGGGCCTGAGTAGGGTCAGGGCCATAGCGGTCTGCAGCCCCGTGGTCCCTGAAGTCCCCTTCTAGGCCAGCATCCTCCTTGAGCCCTGGCTCCGACTTCTTGCAGAACACACAGCCCATTCCGGGTGTCCTGCTACGGAATGGGCATGCCTCACTCAGGGGCCACAGCACCCCCTGTACACATGCGCACGCACACACAGAGGCACGCAGCTTCTCCTCTCAGGTCTGGGGGGGAAGAGTCGCCCTAGTGAGGAGTGGAGGTGGGGCAGGACCACCGCTCGCCTGCCTCCGGCTGCCTCTGCGTTTGGAGGGCGTCCTCACGGCCTCAGGGGGCCGGTTTCTGCTCTAGGATGTTGTGTTTGCTTACATATTTTTACCTCGTACTGCTCCAATAGGTTGTATTTTCATGAATCCTTCAGAGTGTGTCTGGGTCTTTGTGTGTCTCTCAGTATTTGTGAGTTTGCGCACGTATGTGTGTGTGTGTGCAATCCTTTGTGAATAGCTGTGGGTGTACCTGTGGTGGCTAGCGTGCTCATGTCTGTATGAGTGTGTCATGCGTGGGTTTTCTGCGGGTGTACATGTGTGTGTCGGCCTGTGGGTGTCTGTGTGTGCAGGTCCGTGCGGAGAAGAGGGGGTGTGAGTGCGTGCCTGTGTTTGTGTGTGCATGTGTGTGTGAGGGCTGTATGTCTGCACCTGGAGATTCCCCGCAGAGGGGGATCAAGGCCATTTCCTGTCATGGGTCCAGCCTCTGGCCTCTCAAGCTGCCTCATTCTGTCTCCCCCATCTGTTACCTAGCAACAGGGCCCTGGTAGGAGGAAGGGGCTGTGAGGAGCTACAGGGCCCAGGAAGGCCACCCCCACCCTTTTCCTGACCCTGAAAGCCCCACAGTTGCCACTCACCCCTCAGGCCCCTGCTCCGGGGTCAGTGGGACTGTGGCATGGTCCTTGGGAGGGGCCAGAGACCTGAGGGCGAGACAGAAGGACATGGGGGATGAAGGTTCTGCCAATGTTCCTGCAAGCCAGCTGCCCAGCTCCTGCCCTCTTCAGGGAGCCAGAAGGCCTGGCTCTGCCCCAGCATGACTTCTGCCTTCATTTTCCTTCCCACCACCCCTGGCAACTTCCACTTCCATCTTCACACAGGACCCCACCCCCCCACTAATTCTCCCCAAACTCGATCCACCCGACACACCAGCACACAGTCACACCAGCACAGCACACGCACACGAGTGTGCTCGCCAACAGGGCCCCCCCCCCAACAGCTACAGGCTAATTCTTTTGTGGCAGCCCAAGCTCTGCTGCATGGTGACACACGTACATCCACACACAGCTACAAACACAGGCGCCTCTCACGTTAAAAGACTCACACACTCGGACACTCATCTCGTCACGTTAGTCCCATCTCTCTGAACAGACTCCCCTCTCCATGTTCCCTCACAGGCCCCAGTCACTGTCTCCTGAAAACAAGCCCTTCTTGGCTTGTGCAAGCCTGGACTACACCTACTTCCAGAACTCTGCTCCTGCCCCCACTAAGGAAAGACCCGGGTCAGAGGCAGGGTGCCTGAGTCCCTTAGAGAGCTCCCTCACATGCGCCAAGCCTTCCCTGGTAGCTGAGTCCTCTGAGTGGCAGGGCAGACAGACCATTGAGCAAGGGCTTGCTCAGCCCCATCAGAACCCCCGCCATTGCAACACTTAGAGAGGAACTGTGGGGAGAAGGCTCTGTTTCCTAAGATGAAAGAGGAATGGAGAGTTGAAGGGTGGGGTCAGCCCAGCAGACCCTGATTTCTCTCAGGGAGGCTAAAGGTCCTTGGGAATGGTGACTCTGCCTTGCCTTTCTTGACCCCCAAGTCCAGTTCACTTGCCAATAGTCCCCTTCCCTCTGGGTCCTGCTGCTCCTACTCAGCCCTACTCACCTCCTCCTGGAAGCCTTCCTGGATCCACCAGGTCCAGCTGCCTAACTGAAAGTTCTGTTAATCAGTGCCCTGACCCCCCCACTTCAGCCTGACCAGCCCCCCCTCGTCCTTCACTATAACTATTCTCCGTGTGTGTTGGAGGGTGGTAACACCCACGTGGTGAACTGTGAGGCGGGCTGTGGTGAGAGGCCTGCCCTAAAATAGCCCCTGTTCAGCAAGCCATTGCTGAGATCTTCACACCAGGACCCCTCCCCTGGGGTAAAACCGCTGCCCCTAAAGAGCACCAGGATGCTTCAGGGAAGTTAGGGTCAGGAAGAAACAAGGGGTGAGGGGGGCATCCACGGACCAGGGAGTGGATTTCAGGGGATGAGGGGACAGATGAGGGAGGCTAAGATGGAAACAGGGTTTTCACATGGTGAGAAGGGAGATCTCTTCACAGGAGACAAGCACATCTGTAACAGCACACAGGCCGCATACCGATCCACACAGCCTCCAGCACATTCTTGGACGCACATATTACCTCCGCTCTACACAGCACTTCACAGAGACTCTGCGCTCCTCTGTGCAGATTCCCGGAACAAACATCTTCAAGGATCCCCTCCCCCCCACCCTCCCCCTGCAGCCACATCCACACATCTCTGGCCCTCACCCATCTGCGCACACACACAGCCTCTCCACAAGAATGCAAATACAGAATTTATCGTACTTACTATGTGCATCAAACACTTTACATAGATTACCTCATTTTATTCTTATAACAACCTTGTGAGGTAAGTAATGCTATTACTGATAAGGCAAACGGAGGGCACAGAGAGGTTTAGAAACTTCCTTAAGGTTTCAAAGATGACGTGTCCTGGTGTTTGGCTCCAGAATCTGAGCCCCTTCTCTCCACAGCCTGTCACAGACACAGATAATGACAGTCGTTCCTACAGGCATGCACGGATGTAGAGGATGTAGAGAGACCCCACAAGGATACAGGGAGATAGACACAGCCCTCCCCCAAGTCACAGGCCAACAAAGAGCTCCCCTCTATAAAAGACACAAACTCACACAACCTCTTGGGCCCCCACACAGATAAACTGGTAAGTCCAACAATAACCAGATATATATTACCACAACTTTCTAGATCTACCTACGGAGAACCCTAAATTCCACATTCCTGGAGTGGGTTGGGGCTAAGAAATGCTCAGCCTCTGAGGAGAAGGCTGAGAGCTCTGTCAGCTGAGGAAGAGGGTTGGTGGGACTGATAGTAGAGCAAGTCATGGTGGCAACTCTCAGGGCTTTGCTCTATGAGGCCTGAAGGGGAGCAAAGCCCTGGCAACCACCATGCTGAAGGGGCGAGAGGGTAGAGCCTGAGGATGTGGGGCAAGGGACAGAGAATAGGAAGAGACGAGAAGAGACAGAAACAAAGGCTGAGAGATACCGAGAGGCAGAGAAAGAAACAGAGAGACGGCAGACATAGACTATAAGGAAGAAAGCAAGACAAAGAAAGAAGCACATGTGCTGTGCTGGTATAACCACTCGCACAGGGGGAAAAGAAGGCCTTGATATGCAGCATTTGCTCATTTCCATGGGGTAAATATTCCCATCAAAGCCCATTTCAAGTTTCTGAAGTGAGTTCCTGAAGGCTGGGCTGGGAAGAGATTCGCAGAATCAGCTCCCCTGAGCTAGTATAGCTGGTTCCAGCACATCACTGCCAAAAGGAGCCAAAGAGAAAGAGACAAACAGAGACAGAAATGAGAACTAGACCGAGCGACAGAGAGAAAGAAGCAGAAAAGAGAAAAGCGGAGATGAGGAGAAAGAGTCAGATACAGATCCGAGAAATAAAGACTGAGAAAAAGACCGAGGGAGCAGGTTGGGGCCTGTCTGCTCAGGCCTGTGCCTGCAAATAGCTCCCAGGACTTAGCGGTCCTAGCCCGGCTCTGATGCCACCAGTTCTTCTGGGAGTAATTTGACTTCCTAGAGGTCCGAGTGGCAACAACTATTAATTAAACTAAATTACAAATAAATATATGAAACACCTCTAATGCTGGCATAATGCCCAGCAATTCCTGTGCGTGATTGCAGCTTGGAAGTTTATGAGGTAGATTTCATTATTACGCTGACTTTACAGATAAGGAAACTGAGTCACAGAGAGATGTTAAGTAACTTCCCCAAGATGACATAACAAGGGGAAGCTAAAACACAATCCCCGTCACTTTTGCTCCAAAACCCAGGGTAAGCATTGATTTATTTGTTATCCTTATAGAGGCAAAAATACATGTGCCTTGTTGAGTACCTATATGTCCTAACGCTCTAAATGATAGCTTAGAGAAGGAAGACGAGACCTGCCCAGGGCCTTTCAGGCAAGCACTGATTTTCACAGCCCTTAGAACTGACCCTGTAACAGGTGGTGCCCAGGAAAAGGGGAGTTGCCAGTTCCCTGCCCCACCCAAAGGAAGATGGAACTGGGCAGGGAGGAGAAGAAGCTGGAGAGGAGATTGGAGAAGAAAGGAGGCAGCATGGAGCCAGGAGACCTGAGGAGTCACGTGGAGCAGAGAGAGGTGTGAAGAAGATGCATTTGCTTTTTGGTCCTGGACTAGGTGAAACAGATGTGGGTGAGAGACCCGCAAGGAAGTTCACTATGGCAGCTTGTGTCTTGATTTTGATTTTGCTCTTTTTCCCCCCAGACTTGTCTGGCTGTTTCTGATCCTTTTCTGTGGGTCCCTGCCAGTAGGTGCCTTAGACTTGTGGCAGGTGTTCAGGCTTTGCTTTGAGCCAATACCATTTGGGTGGATTTTTACCCATAAGGAGATGGGTCACTCTGGGTGTTCAATTTAGACACTATATTCTTTGTCTTTCTGTATTGTTCACTCATTGTATTAAAGTTCCTTTCCATTAAAGCTCTATATGTTTTGTCTGATGCAGCGGATGGCAGAATCTGTTTGGAGCAGGCAGGTTTGGGGGCCCGGTGTGCCCCTCTCCCTGCCCTGTAACAAACCCATTTGCCTCTGCAGGGCTGAACTTGGCTGCCTGCTAACACCAGAGCAGCTCAGAGTGGCCCAGGATCCGGTCACTGCAGGACTCAGGTCTGTTTGTGAATATGCCTCTTAAACATCTATTTGACAGGCTTGACTTCCAGAGAGCCTCAACTGGGTCAAAACCAGGGGGTGGGTGTCAGAGCTAGACCACAAGACTTCCTACCTTCAACCTCTCCTTCTGTGTGGCCCTAAATACCCTGGGATCTCAGCTGATTGACATAAACCTCTGAGTCTCATTTTCTATCTGTACCTTCTTTGCTGTTTGGGGAAAGCTGATGAGATGTGACTCTTGCCCAGCATGTGGTGATCAAGCAAGGCTGAGAACCAACCACAAGCAGCAAAGCCAGAGTGGCCTGCAGGGACCATTTATCAGTCCACCCCCCCCCCCAGAGTATAGGGGGGAAATGACTGGTTGGAGGTCAAACAGTCAGGCAGGCGATTCAAAACCAGGACTATTAATTCAGGTCTGGGGCCCTGTTTCCCACGCGGTGACTGCGTTCTCCACAGCCTGAGTGGGAGGTCATGCTGGCCCTCGCCAGCGATCGTTCTAGAACGTTCTATTTTCTATCGAACCCCTGGTCCACTATACCACCCTGACCCTATGGCAGCTGGCCACTCCGCATGCAGCCTACCACCCACCCCCTACTCCCAGGCCCACCCCTCCTTTCTTGAGGTGCAAAGTCATAGGAGAGCTTTGATGCAGATACAGAATCTCCCGTCCTCACTAACCTCTGCCAAGTATCTCTGGGGTCTATAAACAGATTCAGGCGTAAATTCTACCAGGACTGACATCTAGGTGGAGTGACTGGGCAAGTTCACCTCTGTGAGTTGGTTTCTTTGCTTTAAAAATAGGTACATAAATCCCCACCTCAGGGGGCTACTTCTCAGCAGCCAGTGGAGTGAAGCCTCTCAAAGTACCAGCATGCAGTAGGTGCTCAGTGAACTTCCACTTCTGTTCCTCTCCCTCAAGAAAAGCCCCGACAAGTCTCTAGGAGTGGGGACGACAGGGCCCAGAGAAGGAGAAGTTCCCAGGGTGAGATGAGAGGCCTGAGCTGGCCCACACTTGTGGGGATTTCAGCAAAAGGGAACTGGTACTTGGGGCCACAGCAGGAAACCTGCAAGAGTTCCGGTTTGTCCTAGGGGCTCTGGGCTGACCAGGGGTAGTGTGCAAGTCTCAGCCCCACTGCACCCCATCCCTCATCCAAACCTGACCCTAGACCTGACTGAAGGCTTCCACCCCCCCCTCCCTGAGACCCTTTACCCCTTACTGAGCTCCAGTGGCCTTCCTGAGGTCCCCCACCTTCACTGGGGTCCCCACCTCTTACTAAACCTGCAACTACTCCACACCAACTATTCTTGAGGCCTGACTACCACCCCCTGAACACCCAGGGACTGAGACATATCGGGATTTGGGTTTACCACCCTGGTAGGGCCTGATGTGGAGAACAGGAGGGGCAGGGCTGGGTGGCCTATCTTTGCCATATTGGTTTTGTTTTTCACATCTTCCTGAGGGTGTCTGTCTCCATTTCTTGCGGGTTATGTTTCCTCATGTGTTGCAGAAAACCCTCTCTCTAGTCTCTAAAAGCCATGTTCCTTAAGGGGCTTGAGAGGTGGAGCCATGGCCATCCTCAGACTCCAGACTCCAGGCCAGCTCCATCTTAGGCCAGACTGTGGGGACTCTGTGCACAAAGAGCCCTGGCTCTTCCTTCCCCACTTCTGGGGTCCCCCTACTCAGCCTCCCAAGGTCTGGCCACTTCCTTTGCCACATCAGCCCCAGGTGGCTGCAGAGAACACCCACACATGTACTCACACGCTTGTGCTCATTCACTCAAAGCCCAAATGAACCTCACAAGCTCTCACACCCTCACTCCCAGCTTCACACCTACTGGGGAGCAGGAACCAACTACGAAGCTCAAGCTCACTAACGTGAACCCCTTACTTTCTTCCACCCTCTCTCTTCTCCAGAGGGCTACATGGGATCTGGAAGCAGTGATGGGAGCACTCAGGCCTCAGCGCTGGTTATTTCCTACACAAAAGGGACAAGATGCCCTGGACGGCGGGTCCCTCGCGCTGGCCCAGTTGGTCACTGACTCCCTAAATGTGGGTGGAGGGGGGACCAGCGAGGGCCGCTCAGGCAATGCACCCAACAGCTGCCAAGCGCGGGCTCGCCTCCCCGCCCTCTGGTTGCCATGGAGACAGCCCTCGGGCCAGCGCGCTGAAAAGCAGGATTTCCGTCGGGGCGGCCAGCAATTCCCGGATCCCGCGGGGAACGCGGACCCAGGCCGGCACTGCGGGCTGGGAGGGGGCACCCAGAGAGGCCCATCCCTGCTAAGGGCGGGGACTTCCCCAGGAAGCCGGGACCCACGCCTCTAGCCTTGAAGGGGTCCCCTCGCATCCGGGACCCGCCCACCCGTGCGGGCGCCGGCGATTCTAGGGGGCTGCCCTGGTGGCGGCTTCCCCTCCCCTCCGCGTTCCAGGCTTCACCCCGGACTGCTGCGGATTCGCTACTGGGAGGCTTTCTGGACCCTGGGAATTGCGCCCACATCCTGAGTTCTCCAAAAATGGTTCTTTGACACCCCCCCTCCCGCTTCCCGCAAACTCCCTCAACTGGTCTCCCCAAGCCCCCCCTTCCCCTTTCTCAGCCCCCTCGGCTGCTCCCGATCCTCACTCTAAAGGTCTCCTCAGTTTCTCTCTCAGACCGTTTTCTGGGGACGTTCCTCTAACTCGACTTAACCTCCCTTCCCAAATTCTGTCAGTCTCACCCCACAGGTTCCCTCCGTCTTCCCGCCCGACTTTTTTGGGGTCCCTGTTGTCTGCTCTCCCAGTGTTCTCTCCTCATTTCCCCCCAAATTTTATCCTTGTCACTCTCTTCAATTCCCTCCTTTTGTCCTTCTCCGGTTAGCGGCTCTTGGACTCTCAACTTTCTCGCAATCTTCCCGAAGTTCAGGTTTACCACCCCAACTTGGGGCCAAGGCGGTGGGGGCGG